CGAGGCGGCGGCGGCGCGGGTTGCGCGGCGCGAGGCCTGCCCCCCGGGCAGGATGCGAGGCATGTTGGGAACCGCACTTCCTCCTCAGGGGCCTTGAGAAAACCACAGGGTGCAGGGCCAGGCAGGCCGCCCCCGGGGAGCCGGCAGGATGGCGGAGGGCAAGGCGGGCGGCGCCGCTGGCCTCTTCGCCAAGCAGGTGCAGAAGAAGTCAAGCAGGGCTCAGGAGAAGGTACTGCAGAGGTTGGGGAAAACTGTGGAAACCAAAGATGCACTGTTTGAGAAAAGTGCCAGCAACTTCTACCATCAACAGGCTGAAGGCCACAGCTATACAAGGACCTGAAGAACTTCCTCAGTGCCGTCAAAGTGATGCATGAAAGTTCAAAGAGAGTGTCGGAAACTGCAGGAGATTTACAGCAGCGACTGGGATGGTCGAAGAGCTGAAGGCCACCGTAGTGAATAATGCTCTCCTTTGGGGAGACTATGAAGAGAAGTTAGCTGACCAGGCTTTGAGGACCTTGGAGAACTATGTAGCCCAGTTCAGCGAGATTAAGGAAAAAATTGCCAAGCGGGGCGGAAACTCGTGGACTGTAACAGTGCCCGACACCACCTAGAGGCAGTGCTGAATGCCAAGAAGAAAGATGAGGCCAACACTGCCACGGCAGAGGAAGAGTTCAACAAATCCCAGATTGTGTTTGAAGATCTGAACCAGGAACTACTAGAGGAGCTGCCCATTCTTTATAATGGTCGTATTGGCTGTTATGTGACCATCTTCCAAAACATTTCCAACTTGAAGGACGTCTTCTACAGGGAGATGAGCAAGCTGAACCACGGTCTGTATGAGGTGATGAGCAAACTGGAGAAGCAACATTCCGACAAAGTCTTTGTGGTGAAGGGACTCTCAAGCAGCAGCAGGCACTCCTTAGTCATCTCTCCCCCGATCCGAGAGCCACAGTCACCAGCCCTCTGACTTCACCTACCAGCGCCTCTGCACTTTCCTTGAAGAGTGAGAGGGACTCCATCTCAGCAAGTGAAGAAGAACTGGCATCTGATCCAGGCCAGAGAGAAGACAACTCCAAGATTAAAGAAGAGCCCTTGCAAAACAAGGAAATAGAGGAGGAGGCCGAAGCAAGTTCCTCTGAGGAGGAAGAGCCGCTGCT